TTATGTTTTAATTGTTTTGGAAAAACTCATGGGATCTCGGGTTGTCGTTCGCCTTCCAAATGTAGTGTATGTGGCAGGCGTCATCATAATTTGTTGCATTTTCCGGACAAGCCGCAGCCAGAAGGAGACGGCGAGGCTGATCAGGGAAACCAGCCAAGGGCCAAGGAGAGGGAACTACAGGCCATGACCAGTACTATGGATGTTTCTGATAAACTCTCCAAGTCTATTTTGTTTGCTACTGCATGTGTATCAGTGTTAGATAAGAATGGGGTTCCACAGAAATGTCGAGTGCTTTTGGATTCGGCGAGTCAAGTGAGTTTTGTTACTGACTCCTGCGCTGCTCGATTGGGTCTTTCGAGACAATCTTCGTCTACTAATATTCAAGGCATCAACCGAATGGCCACCCGTGTTTCGTTGGGTACCGTGTCGTGTGTTTTGAGACCATACCAGAAATTGTGTCCTTCTTATGAGGTCCTAGCTCTTGTTATTCCCCATATTTATGAAACAGTTGCTTGTGTTTCCGGTACGTTTCGAAGATGGAAATATCTCGAGAAGTTGTGTCTTGCTGAGTCTGAATTTGAAAGGAGTAATGAGATTGATATCTTGCTGGGTGCAGATTTGTTTGGTGAAATTCTGCAACCGGGTTTTATTAAAGGTCGAAATGGTGGCCCTTGTGCCATGAACACCGTGTTTGGTTGGGTGCTCATGGGAAGTATTCAAAATACCCCTTCACAGAAGGTATACAGCATGTTAACTCATGCAACTGAGCTAGATGATACTTTAAAAAGGTTTTGGGAAATTGAATGTGTACCCGAATCTAAGTCCGTGTCCCCAGACGATGAATTATGTGAACTTATGTTCCAAGCAGATTGTACCCGCACTGAAACTGGAAGGTATGTGGTACCACTCCCATTCCGCAAGGACAGTTCTGTATTGTTGGGAGAATCCAGGAATGTAGCTTTGCGGCGATTTCAGTTGTTGGAAGCTCATCTTGGCAAAAATTCCATACTCTGTGAAAAGTACCAGGAATTTATGAAGGATTACATTGATCAAGGACACATGTCCGTAGTGAATGATAGCATTCGTGATGTAACGCTTGATCAGAAATATTACATCCCTCATCACGGAGTCATAAAGGCGGACAGTGATAAGTTGCGGGTGGTGTTTGATGCATCTTGCAAAACTTCGAGCGGTGTGTCACTCAACGAACTTTTGTTGACAGGACCAAAGCTCCAGAATGATATTGCTACAATTTTGTTGTCTTTTCGTCGTTTCAAAATTGTTTTCACGGCCGATGTTCGGCAAATGTATCACCAAATTTTGGTGAGCGAGCAATTCAGAGACTATCAGAGAATTTTGTGGAGGTCATCTCCTGCCCAACCGGTTCAGGAATTCAGGCTGAATACAGTGACCTATGGATTATCTTCTAGCCCATATTTGGCCATTCGCACATTGCTACAGCTCTGTAAGGATGAGGGGACTAGCTTTCCATTGGCTGTGGATATTCTTACCAATTCTTGTTATGTGGATGATGCAATTGGTATGGAAGATTCTGTAGAGGGTGCCTTGGAAGCCCAGCGACAATTGGTATCTTTATTAGCCTTGGGAGAATTTGAACTGCGAAAATGGAGCAGCAATTGTCCTCAGGTACTTTCTGGTGTGCCAAATTCACACCACCAACCCTTTTCCTTTGAAGACAGGGAGTTCTCTGGTATCAAGGTTTTAGGCCTTCAGTGGTCGCCCTTATCAGATTGTTTTTCGTATTGTGTAAAGTCCATTAATAGATCTTGCACGAAGCGCAATATTCTGTCGGAGATTGCTAAGATATACGACCCGTTGGGTTTTCTGGCTGCAGTAGTCATTGTTGCTAAATGTTTAATTCAGTTGTTGTGGATTGAAGGATTGGGATGGGATGAGATTCCTTCGGATTTGGTTGTCGCTCAGTGGGATTCCTTTGTTTCTCAGCTGCCTGGTTTGGCCAGTGTGAGTGTATCTCGAAGGGCAACTGTAGATAATGTGATACTTTCTGAGTTACACGCATTTTGTGATGCTTCGGAAAAGGCTTACGCTTCCGTGGTGTACTTAAGACAAGTGAACGTGTCGAATGAAGTCTTTGTCACCCTATTATGCGCTAAAAGCCGAGTAAGCCCACTTAAGCGATTGTCTATACCCCGGCTGGAATTGTGTGCGGCTGTTCTGTTGTGCGAACTTCTTGAATTTGTGATGGCATCTTTTACGACTGTCCAGATAGATAATGTGTTTGCTTGGTCTGACTCAACGGTTGTTCTGAGCTGGGTGAGGTCATCATCCCATCGTTGGAAAAGTTTCGTGGCTAATCGTGTTGCCAAAATTCAGGAAATCATTCCACCTTCCCGTTGGTTTTATATAAGTGGAAAGGAAAACCCTAGCGATTGCGCTTCCAGAGGCATTTTGCCTGGTCAGCTTTGCGACCATCCGTTATAGTGGGCGGGGCCACCGTGGCTTAAAGAGGTCAGTGAGCTCTGGCCAGCTAGTAGTTTCTCTCCAGTGGTGGGAGAGAATGTTGACTGTGAGGAGAGAATCTTAGTGTGTATCGCCAGTGTCCCCCCTAATGTTATTGAGGCTCTGTTGAATAAATATTCATCTCTTCAAAAAATAAAGCGTATTGTAGCTTATTGTCTGCGATTCATTGATAATTGTCGAGCACGCGTTAATGCGCGACAATTTGTTCCTTTGATGCAAATTGAGTTGCACCAAGCCTTGATAGTATTGGTTAGGTTGGCGCAACGATCCGCATTTGCGGATGACTTGCGTAATCTTAGAGCAGGTAAATGGTGCTCCAAGACTGTGAGAAAGTTGAGTCCCTTTTTGGATGAGAAAGGCATTATTCGAGTAGGCGGACGTCTAAGAAATTCAAAGCTTCCCTTTGAAGCAAAGCATCCAATGCTCTTGCCTAGGCTTCATCGAATCACAGACCTCGTTATTGAATCATTCCATCGTGAGCATTGCCATGTTGGACTGCAAACTCTGGAATATCTCTTGATGCAGCAGTTCTGGATTCTTTCCGCCCGGCGGGCTATTCGTCATGTTCTGTCAAAGTGTGTGATATGCTTTCGGTTGAGACCTACTTCCTTTTCGCCATTCATGAGCGATTTGCCCTCTGCACGTCTTTCTCAAATAAAACCCTTTCGTCACACTGGAATAGATTTTATGGGTCCGGTGCAAATAACTCTGGGAAGGCGACGCGGGATTTGCAGTCAGAAGGGTTATATTTGCGTATTTGTTTGCCTAGCCACCAAGGCTATGCATTTGGAGGTTGTTTCGGACCTATCTTCGGTAGCATTTCTGGCGGCTCTTCGAAGATTTGTCGGTCGTAGAGGCGCTTGCTCTGACCTTTATAGCGATCAGGGTACAAATTTTGTGGGCGCAAATAATTTATTGGAGCAATATTTCAATCCTCCGGCTTCGCCTCACTTTGGAGGATTATGGGAAGCGGCGGTGAAGTCAGTAAAGAATCATTTGCGACGCGTTGTAGGTACGCAGGTGCTTACATTCGAGGAGCTATCTACCGTTGTTGTACAAATCGAATCCGTCTTGAATTCAAGACCCTTATGTAGACTGAGTTCCGATCCCAACGACCTTACTTGTCTTACCCCAGGACATTTTCTAACCCTGGAGCCTTTAACGGCTCCTCCGGATGAAAACCTCACATCAATTAATAGTAACAGGCTTACTAGATGGCAATTACTCCAACACATGCATCAACATTTTTGGCAGAGGTGGTCAGTGGAGTACTTGCACACTCTTCAGCAGAGGCATAAGTGGAACCGAGAGGAAAAGGCTCCTACAGTCGGCACTCTGGTCCTAATTAAGGATGAAAATTCGCCCCCCTTACAATGGGTTCTTGGGCGCATTACTAAGTTGTATCTCAGTCGCGATAAGGTCGTGCGAATTGTGCAAGTCCGTACGGCTAAAGGTTTTATGGATAGGCCTTTAGTTAAGTTGTGTGCCTTGCCCATAGAATAATTGGCCTTATAGGATTTAATATTAAGTATTTTTTTTTTTTTTATTATTATTATTAGGTACTTAGCTATTATTATTGTTATTATTCCCTGTCAATTTTTTTTGTTTCTTTATTACGTGGGTTTCGTACCTGGTTATTTCAGGTATCGACCTTAATTATTAATTATACTTATAGGATTTTTTTTTTTTTTTTTTTTGGGGGGGCTTATCATAGGTACGCTCAATGTTATACATATGGCCGTTGTAGTGTATTGTTGCGGACAGAAAGGAAAAATAAGTTACACGTTCTTTAGCAAACTTACTAAAACGATCAGGGCTCGAATTCCGAACCCTCGATATCTAAGCCCTCGATTCGATATTATTGTCCATATAACATAGATAGACGATACTATCGAATCGTGAATTCGGAATCCAGGCCCAGATAAATAGCCTGTTGACTAGACAAAGATAAAAATAATATGTAGGAGTAATGTTTGGTTACATACAGAAAATGGACAGTTGCATTTTTTGGTACTTCAACTTTCATATGACAAACTTTATGTGCAGTTTTTGAGGAATCCAGACTTTGAATAATTGAAAAATTGAATTTGTTTTATACCGTAAACTTACACCCAGGTAGGTTCAATTAGGGAATCCAAACCACGTGACTTTTGCCAACCATCCGGCATTTTGAAATTTTTATGAGGTTAGAATACGGGTTGTTACATGTCAACGATGTCAGAAAATTGTCAGATTTATAAAGCCTAGTACTCATAACCGCGAAATTCGCTCTTTTTTGACATTGCTTCGACAATTTGACGTTTGATTCACGCATAAAACGTCAAATTGTCGAAGCAATGTCAAAAAAGAGCGAATTTCGCTGTTATGAGTACTAGGCTTAATCCTGCCAAAAAAAAAACACATGTTTTTTGTTTATTTTTTGCCAACCAGACGCCATTTGGACAGGTCGTTGGATTGCCTAATTGCTTAATAATTCAAATACATAATTCAGTTCTTACCTTTATAGTAACTTTTCAAAGTGGCAAAAATAACAACGAAAAACGTGGAAGAATACTTTCCGGCGTTGACCAAATGCGGAAACGCCTCTCTGGAATCGTAGTACCGTCTCAGGCACTGAGCGAAACGTATCCAGGCCGGAATACAATTCACTATTGGTCTTATTATGTAATTTTTTTCCATGCAACCAGCGGAATCTGGAAAATAATTGTTTTTGTTTTGCTTTCTTTAATACAAAACATCTAAATTACCTCCAGCTTCGGACCAGTTCCCGTTAGTAAAGTAAAAGCAAAACAAAAATTGCAAATCGAGCAAGCCATTCACCAAACTGTTCAGTTGATCAGCCAGCCAAAAATCGGCAAACCCCACGTGGAAAACGGGAGATGCAAACATCCTGCCCTGCAAAAGCAACCACACTTGTCAAAAACTCAAACCAACAAAAAAAAAAAATACTTACGCATAATCTCAAAAACCAAAACCTTGCTTCGTGTCTGAACATTTTAAAAGGATTAATCAGGAACGCAATCATAATAATCACCAACCCCAAAGGATTAACGTAAGCTGGTATACTTAGGGCGGCGCTGTAAAGGAAACTGAGCAAGCTCAGCGCCCAAACGACACCGAAAATCGCTGCTAGTTCCATCAGATGTTGCTCGGTCAAATGGTTTCTCGGATCCAGTTCGAAAATCAGAACATGGTTGACTCCTGAGGATCTCCAGCCGTAAACGTTGACGCCCAAAAGGAATATGAATTCGATCAGCAGGAGCGGACCTCGGTACATGCGAAAGGCGATTTTTAGGTTGTCGCTGCTGCCTTCGTGGAATATTGCTGAAAGGATTAGAAGGCATAAACAACTAAGAAGTAAAAGGTAAGTCAACCATTTGAATTTTGAGTAGATTTTCGATTTAGTACGAGTAGTGGTAATGATGACGTTTTTTATTAGTTCCTTGGACATTTTTCTAAAGCCCATGTTCACTACTTTGATCATATTGAATTAATTGTCTTTCCACGTTTTTTGAATAAAGAAACACATCATGTAACACGATATTTTTAACTATAATCTCCAAAATTTTGTATAGCAGATGTAGGCGTGAAAATAATTGTCTTGTAATCCTTTTAATTTTGATAAGGAGGTGCATTATTTTTTGTATTGTAAACAAAAATAATAGGCTTTTTGACTGATAAGAAATATAATGTTTTGGCAGGGTTTATTTTTGGGGAAGCCAAGTTCCTATTCTGAAATACAATGTTGCCTTCTCTGAAATAAAGCTTTGATTTTCTGAATTACAATTGAAAAACATTAAGTACCAAATAATATTCACAAGTAATTTCAGCTTGAAAGTTCTTACCTGATAATACAACAGATATCAAAAGCACGATAAAACTACCCGAAAATAGTCCAACTTTGAAAGTGGTCCAAGGCGATTGTTGTTCGCCCAAAGGTGGCACCCTCAATCTTTTCATTGCCTTGAAAATACGCATTTTATTTAAACATATTCACTGTAATATAAATCTGTTACCCTTTGCCTGTCGCCGCCCTCCAATTCATTTGTAACCAAGTTTTCTGTTTCATTAATAATATTATCAATATCCTTGTTAAGGTTGAAATGGGAGGCTTCTACGTGCTCTTCGCGCCACTTTGCACCAACATCGGTATTCAGAAGCTTTAAACAATTTAAAATTAAAATTTTATTACTACATATCACCTAATTATTACCTTATCGTGTTTTTTAAGTATCTTCCTGAACCCGGTGTGATTCAGTGTTTGATAGTTTTGCAATAAAATTAGACTCAAATAAAATTCACTGAATGCTAATTTGAGGTCTTGCAGTTTTCTTGTTGGCACTCGCTTCTTATCTTTTCTACTACCTAAACAAAAAAATCATTAGGTATTACAAAAACATTATTATAATATTTACCTAATCTAATACTGTCTAAAGAATCTTTGAGCTCGCTGTTTAAGGTGGCAAACTTCCTTGTAGCTTCAGCTAGTTTTTCAGCGTAAAATGTGTTAATTTTTTTGAGTTCCTTGTCGGCGTAGAGGAAAAATTGTTCGTCGAAATTGGCGAAATGTTTGCGCACATCTTCGGCGTCCACGCTTTCAGCTGAAGGCGCTTCTTCTACGGCCATGTATAACATGGCCTTCATTTCCTAGAAAAAAATATTAAGGCTTAAAAAGTATCCATAATATTATTTATAAATTATTATTATTAGTATAGCAATAGAAAGCGGTTATAGTGTCCAATAAGTCTATTGCTTAAATTGTCTGGGTTTTGGTCTTATGTACGAGAAGTTACAAAAATATTGCACTGTGGCATTATTCAACGTTTCTAGGTTTATGTCTAGTCTATTTTTAAATAGATTCTTATTAGGTGCACTTATAGTTTCTTCACTGGTATACGACACGGTTGCTCAGAAAGTTCCTTCTTCCAAGCAATAGGGCCCTTTCTCTTTTTAATTTTTGGTAGTGTCCTTTGCGATCGCGGTTTTAATTTAAATTTAACGAAGCAAAGTTGAGGATTCATTTGTGAAGACTGACTCAAACTGACTTGCAAAGATATCTGCAGTGTTTTTTTGGGTCCCTCGATATCTGTTGGTCTTTTGGATCCTTAATTACGAGATCATGAAGCTGGCTACTTAGATTTCTCTTCATGTAGGAGTAGAAATGTTTATCGTTCTTTTCCAGGATATCCTGTTCATATTTAAGACGTGCTTCAGTTATGAATGATTCTGCGTCCTGTATATTTTAAACTGTGTGATTGTTTCTAAAAGGAGTTTAGTTGGTGGCATCTCGATTCCTTGTAACATGCCAGGAATTCGTTGGCTTTTTGGCAAGGTTTATTCAGTGTAAGTGATTTCCAACATATTTCTGGGTAGTTGAAAGATAAGAACGTTAGTATTTTCCTCAAAAATCCCCTTGATCAGATGACTAAGTTCTAAACTTTCGACTGTGGTCTGTAGATGCATCCTATCAGGATCAGATACTTTTTTCTGCTATTTCCATGTTTAAAAATATAGCGTCTATAGTGCCATTGATATTGTAGCTATTATTCAGGCTTACCTTGATCTTATGCCCATTCGCTTCCACCCTCACCAATATACAAACGCCACCACCCTCCTGTAACTGTCGACCAGCTCTGTATAAATTGTAATCAGCCGTAGCAATTAGAGAGTTCGGAATATTTTTGTTCAGTCAAGTTTCTGTGATGAGAATAATGGTCGGTTTCTCTTTTGTTAGTATGAAGTGTACTTCTTGTAATTCAGGACGGATTGACGAGTTGTTTGTATAGAAAAATCTGATATCTGTTAGTGGCCGTAATTAGTTTTTTGACTCTTCTTGGCTCGAGCCTTGGTGATTGGTCTCGCGTGAGGTTTTGCTCTTCAAACTCCTTCTATGTATCTTAGTTTTGAGTCAGGTTCATTTGTTTTACGAGTGGCTAGTTCATGGAGCAAGTTTTTAATGTGTTCTCTTTGCGCAATTGTTTGGTCCAGATGTAATATCCAGTTCCTTCTATTTTATGTTTGAATTTTAAGATTCCCCTGGCTTCATTGTTTAATGCAAGAGTTATTTTGAGTGGTCTTCTCTTATTCTGATCATATCTTCCCAATCTTGAAACTGTAATGCTCTCCAGATTTGCATCTGCCTCAATAATATTAATTATTCTTTTGGCTTATTGAATTTCTTTCGCAATTCTCTCCTTGTAGGCTTCTGCTTCTGCTTCTTTCACCCCAAAAATTAGAATGTTTGTCTTTTTCTTGCCTGAGTTATTTTTCTCCTTTTGTTGTTCTTCCTTGGAAACATGTTCAAAATCATCTATTTTCTTTCTTATGGCTGTAATATCAGCATATGATGGCGCCCTAACAGCGTCTTGCTTCAGTTGTTCTAAGGCATTTTGGGTAAATTGTTTTTTCATACAGAAATTTCCTTGAAAAGTTTGATACAATCTGGATAAACATAGGATATAACTCGTTCCTTCAGTTCAATAAAACGTATTATCTACAAAAATCACATAATAATTGGACTGATAGCCAATAGAAGTCGTTCTGAAGCTTGGAACATTATTGAAAAAATTGTCATATTTCCAATATCCAAAAAAACTCTACTTATAGGCTTATTCCTAAGAGATCATTCTTCATCATCATCTAAGAAAAATATTGATTCGTCATTCTTTATAAATGAAGCTTTAGTTCCTAGTTTCTGCAAATTTTCAGCCATTCTGAAGCCAGGAACATTTTTATAAAAAGTGTCATGGATCAAGAACCAGATAATCGAATTTTGAACTAATTTACTGGCTCTTGATTCTCAGGAAAACTTTCCTGGAGCCAATCAAGAGTTAGTAATAGTCAAAATTTGAACTATTAAGTATAGACTCTTGGATTCACTAGAGAATTTTTTTAAGGTTAGTCAAGGCTCAAGATGTGAACATTTTTGGATTAATTTTTTCTGCTATTCCATCCATATAGTCCATAGACGCGATTCGACCTATCAGGTCTCGTCAGTATGGGTAGGAAAAGGTCATTGGTAGGAAAGCAAAGAAAACCAATCCAAGTTTAGTGCCTGGTTAAGGTTGCCACCTCTCCGGGTTTCACCCGAAGTCTACAGGTTTTCACATATAGTCTCCGGGCTCCGGATTACTGGGTGTTTTCTCCGGGTAAAACCGCATTTAACAAAAAAAAAAAACGTAAAAATATTTCTTTTGTCCAGGAAAAAAAATAAGATTTAGCAACAGTGTAATACTGTTCCTGGTTCCTGCCAATGAAGTAGAAAGAAGGTTGGAATGGGCTTTGCGTCATTCAATTGATTCCAGAATGAGATAGCGCTAGTAAGGGCAAAAATCTATTGGATCCCTCACTTTAACCCTGAGCGAGATAGCGCTTGTAAGGGCAAGAAAATCTCACAGATCTCTCCTGCTTTTTCACTCTAATGTTGGCCGCAAATATACAGGGTCGAAAACTAAAAAGGATCCACCTGGATTTTCAAGAAAATTATCAGGAAATTAAAAAAACGCCAAAACACGTCGATTTTGTTTGCAAGGGGGACACTTTTTGGCACCCTCAAAAGTTGAATAGAGAAACTGGGTCGAGTGGTACCTTGTTTGAGAGGTATTTGAGATGACTTTACAGATCTGTCATTTTTTTCGAAATCTGACTTCTAGTTTTCAAGATATTCGCCTCGGTAGTTACCATGGGGCGAAAGGAGAACGTGTTTTTCGTGAAAAAATGAAGAGTGGGTCATGTTTGAGAGGTTATCCAAAAAGTTCAAACTCACAAGGAAACGAAGGTTCAAAATAAACAAAATTGGCGTGTTTCAGGAATTTCAATTTTTTCTTGTAGAAATGTACAAAAAACACGTTCTCTTTTCGCCCCATAGCAAATTCCAAGGCGAATATCTTGAAAACTAGTAGTCAGATTTCGAAATAAATTACAGATCTTTAAAGTCATCTTAAATACCTCTCAAACAAGGTACCACTCGACCCAGTTTCTCTATTCGAGTTTCGTGGGTGCAACTCACCCCGGTAAGGGGGTGCAATCTAGAAAAATTTTGAAATAACCAAAAAGTGTCCCCCTTGCAAACAAAATCGATGTGTTTCGGCGTTTTGGCGTTTTTTTAATTTCCTGATAATTTTCGAGAAAATCCAGGTGGATCCTTTTTAATTTTCCACCCTGTATGTATTGTGTAGATAGGCAAAGGGCTATTCCAACCTTCTTACTACTTCATTGGTTCCTGCTCTCTCTGAAAGATATTACACACTACTATAGGATTGCTCATCGGCCCCGATTTTTGGAATCAAGGTCATATGGTGTTGCACCGTTGTCGACGTCATCAACGGTATCGTTAATTATTTGCGCCAGCGGTCATAGTTTAAAATACACATTTATGAAGAAAAATATTATTTAATTTTGAATAACATAATAAGCAAAGCGGAAGATGCAAACGAGATCAAAATGTTGCTTATGGCCATTTGCACCGACCATTTTAAGGGAGTTTTAACGATAGTCAACGCTTAAGAAATGTCACTTTGATCGTTTATTATCGTTAAACCTCCCTCAAAATGGTCGGTGCAAACGGCCATCAGTGCGGCTAGATCAATCGTTAGTTAAGTCTTTGTGAGTTAACAAAAACCTCAGATTGTGACAATTTCAATATGAGATTGTTTTTGTGTGGCACAATCTGAGGTTGTTGTTTGCCAATGCCGGTTTTCCACCAAACGGACTGTTGAGTTTTTATTTTAAAACATGTTTTAAAACACAAAATTAACCCGAAAAACAGAACTCCAAATGAGCAAAACACACTAATCTTGAAAATGTTTGGGAAAAGTTGGAGTTTTGTCTGAGTTTAAGTTTTGTTTTTGTTTTGTCGGTTTGGTGGAAAACCGGCATAACAAGGACTTGACTAACGATTAATCTCGGCGCCATTAATGTACTAAAACCAAGTATGCATAAAGCACAAGTCAGCGGAATCATAGCCTGTGCTGCAAACACCCTACGTCAAGGCGAGGAACGACACGCTGTCTACGTCATCACTGGTTCTTTGACGTGGTGGGGGGCTTGAGATTTGATCTACAAAGGCCATATGCGGATAGACTATCATGGTTGTCCTATCCTGTGTGGTTAGTAATAATCCTTGGATCTCCCTCTCCAACCGTTCCAACTCCCAACCCTGAAGCATCATCCGGTGATGCCAGGGGAGACTTGTGTATAGATATAGAGTGTACCTAATGCATCTGATCAGATTTGTAAAAAAAATTTTTTCAATAAGGGTTCTTTTTTCTCTGATTCAACTTACTTCATAGAAAAGTGACTTACTTTCCAAGGTGGCATCCCTAGTGCTTGTAGACAAAATAGAAGTAGTACGACGAGCGAAATTTGATCGTGGCGCCATCTAAGACTAGATTCAACACTAAACACCACTTTTGCTGTATTAGTGATGACCATCTAATAGGCCGCCCAAAAATCAGTTGGTTGGGAAAACCCAGAATAGTTCATATTAATCACAATTTCGTTGTCTGCAACTTCTGATTGACTCTGGAAAAACCTTCCAATGGATCAAGAGCCACAGATAATTGAAATTTGAACCATTATCGGCTCTTGATTCTCTAGAAAGCTTTCCTGGAGCCAATCAAGAGCCGGTAATAGTCAAAATTTGAACTTTTATCAACTCTAGATTAGCTTGAGGATATTTCTAACGCCAGTCAAGACTCAAGAGCCGATAATAATCAAAAATTTCGAGAGGAAAATCAAATGAATACTATCAACAGAATGATAGCTCTCAAAAGTGATACTACTACTGCTACTTTTTGAGAAAATATTATTTAAATTTAGAAATTTTGCTCCATTTAGAGAGAAGACAAAAGAAAACGCCTATTTACAAATCAAAATGTTGCACGAACCTAAAACCTCGAACATTTAGAACAACTTACAATGAAACAACGCAACTACGGAACGCACCCCATCAAAATCATATGACGACGATTTGTGCCCTTTGCTTCATAACCTTACAACTAGGAGTTTTCTTAATAATTATCTACATAATATATTCCAATTAAAAAATAATAAATTATGGAACTACTTACTTCGTAATTTATATATTGCTTCCTCCATTCTGGCGTGATATGAGCGGATAAATGTTCAGCGAACTTCATCTTGGTGGTTCACCTCATTCAAATAGTACTGAAAGTGCCGTCCAATTATCGCCTCCTTTGTTTGCTCGCTCATTAAAAAGTGCGCCTATTTTCTCTAGTTCAACATAATAAAAAGTGTAAATATCGAGAGATTTTCATAATCAAATCTCGAGTATCAGGGAGCGTGAATTTTTTTTCTATTTACCTCGAGGACTATTAATTATCTCCGATCATTTTCGGTGGCGATAACGACGATGGTACTTTTTCTTATCATAGCCTATTGAGAACTACAAACAAAATAAAAATAATATGATTTTTGTACTGTTGTTGGGGTTGCCCTTGATTTGCATGTGTCAAAAGAAAAAATGCACTACTGCGCACTGCTCCAAGAGGCCTGAACAAGGTTGCCCGAACTACTCGAACAATATAAATATTTGCACTCTGTACAAATAGAGTAGTTTGGTTTTATTATTTATGCAAACACAAATAAACTATAAATTTACTTACAAGTTTTATTACAATCATAAATTAATTTTGCCTAGTGTGAAGTATCTTGGAAGGTCTACAAGAATAACATTTTATGACTACTCTAAAAACTCGGAACACTAAAATTATGTATTTGGAGTAAAACGAACCAGAAACGGAACACTGCTCTTAAAACAGCTGTTCTATGTCAATGACAGTAGCCCCTTGAAAAAATCCATTTGGTTACCGCATTTGGTGCAAGGCCCCTTTTTCAATTAATTTTCCAGGTAATTTCCATATTTCTACGGCAAAATGAGCGCCTGGAGACAAGCTGGACTCAAGTAAGTAACCCTTGAATATCGCACTTTAGATTTTACAACCTAAAATTTAAAATTTGATGATTACATAATAATTATTGAAGCAGGAACCCCCTTAATCTAAAACTACAATAAAATAAGGTTTTTTTGTTCTTATTACAGTTACATTAACTATTCCAAAATTTCGGCAAAATTATTGAGGCAAGCCCTGAAATCCGACTTGAAAGCTGACGCCCTAAAAAGAGAGGCCTCTCATCTGAAAGTGACCAAATGGGAAGATGGAAAGCCAATTAGTAAGTACAAGGGTCTTTCAACTAAACAGGGTTATGGTTATGTAAGTACACGGTCTAATATTTCAAAAGGTGCTCAAAGAAAATACTTGTTCTTGGTAATGCCCGATTCAGTGGTGGTATTTGCAATGTTGCCAAGTTTGTTGTTTCTAAGATGCCTATATGTAACTTAATTTTCCAACATTACTAAACCTCTATACCCTAACCTTTATTTGACTTGGTTTTTGAAATGATATTTTTCTACGACCATTAGAGAATTCTTCCATTCCAACATAGTTTTTGACTATGAAATAGCTTCATTCCATCACTAGTGAAAGAATATTTATTCCATCACTAATTATGGAATGAGTGCCTGTGGCGCCATCTAACGTTACAGCTGAAAACTACAACAGCTTCCCTACACAAACTGCAGAAACGTTAAAAAACCTAAAAAATTACTGATAAAACTGTAGAAAGGAAGGTAACCTCGAATCTGCGCAACTAAAATATGTGGAGGTTGCATATGGCCGACTAGTGTTTCCGGTTTGGCAGTGGCGTATATTTCTTCAAATATGACTGTCAACATTATGACTCACTCTTTTCGCACTAATCCCAATGCTTATCAGTTAAAACTGCTAAAATCCATTAAACATCCACTTGAATGAGGACACAGCGAATCACCAAAACAAAGGATGAGTCATACTTAGAGGCTCAATATGGCCGTCCTGTGTGTCATCAATTTCCCCCCCCCTCTTACCCCCGCGAAATCACCAGTTGTGACATAGGCTTCCAGGGATGTTCCAACGTGCGCAATTGTGCATATTATGCACAATCTCAATATGCACCATGTGCATGATTTTCACAATCCAGTCAAAACATAATTATTTTTCTTTTGGCAACCTCACCTTGCGCCTTGGTTCTGGTTACTGACATCTGTTATTTTGAAAGCTAAACTCTAGACTTGTAAGTGGCTAAAGAGAAGAATGAAGACTATAGACAGGAACCCAACCTTCAACCTTTCTAACAAGTAACAGCTCGGTACACGTCACTACTACAGGGTGACCTATCCTCATAAGGCCTGTGTAGATCAGATTACAAGCCCCCCTCCTACTTCCCGCCTAAGAACCAGTGATGACGTAGACAGCGTGTCGTGTCTCGACTATTGAACAATGCTTTCTCAGATCTAGATGGCATCTTCCTCTTTGCTTTGCTTTGCCGATTATATTAATATAATAATGCATATTCTAAACTACGACTGCTGGCACAAACAGCTGACAACGTAACGTATGACGTTGGCAATGGTGCTACACAATATGGCCGCGATTCCCAAAAACGAGACCGATAAGTAATCCTGTGTAGTATGAGTGTTATCCTTGATCTTGATAACAACTGTCAATTTAGAGCAACAAAATGGCGGCGGGGGCGTGGCTTACTTCTGGTTTCGATTTTCACATATCGTCATGAGCTTCATAATGGCGACTTAATTCCATTGTCATCACTTGTTGGTAAAAAGGTTTATCGCGAGTCAGTAATTTTTATTTTATTTCGTCGACATCTATATAAGTCTCATATAGGATTTTTACGCCATATTCAGGATGACGTCACATTTAGTAAATTTCTGCTACCAACCAAGTACTTTTTAACACATTTAAAGTAGGGGAATTTCAGATGTTTTTGGTTGGCAACGGCGCGCGACGTTGCATGACTTGTATAAACATTTTCATTACGTTACTTTCTGCTGTCATCAGAGTTATTGACACATGACATTCTGGTAAATTATAAAAACATTCTCAGTTCTTGTTCGATGACGTCATCCTAAATATAGCAATCTATAAGTATATAAATTTTTCGACAACTTGTAAGACATTCTACCCCTGCTTTTTGTAAAACCCAAGAGATGGCGCTATTAATTACGTCATTCACGTCACACTTAAGAATGTGCACAATCTCAAACGAATATGCATGAATATTGGTTCGATACACACCTATTAAAAATTTTCCTGGACAATCCTGGTTACTTCTCGCCTTGACGTAGGCTGTTTAAACAGCTGAAGACTTAGTTATGACGTCAAAATGGCGACACACCAATATGGCGGTGATCCTTGTATGTGTGTATCATTCTTGATAGTTTGCAACACTATTTGACAAACGACAAAGTAGGCTTTGGGAAAATTCAAAATTTGAATTTGGCACCCTGTAATACTGACATCCTAATACATACATGTTTCTGAAGCCTACTTGGTTTGATATAAACTCTTAGGGTAAGAATTATTTCCATCACAAACCCGTAGGGCGAGGGTTTTTTTAATTAGGAACCCGCATCACGAGCCCGAAAGGTCGGAATCTTTATAAACTTTATAAATTATGAGCTCGTAGGGCCGGGGTTTTCTTACAAGCCCGAAGGACCGGGGTCATTTTAAATCACCAGCCCGTAAAGTCGGGGTCCTTTCAAATCACTAATTTATAGGGCAAAGATTGTTATCTGGTAATACGCAAGAATATTTATAAAACCCCGGCCCTTCGGGCTCGTGTAACTCCGGCCCTTCGGGCTCGTGTAATTCCGGCCCTTCGGGCTCGTGTAACTCGGCCCTCCGGGCTCGTAAACCTCCGACCCTTCGGGTTTAAACAGCTGACGACTTAGTTGTGAAGTCGGAAATGGTGACACACCAATATTGGTGACACACCAATATTGGTGTGTATCATCTTTGGCCTTTTTGAACATATGAATGATGGAAAATAGGAAACGCTATTTAACAACGCTTGACATATCAAAAAATAAAAACATGGAATTACAACATGAGTTCTATGCTATGTTCATATCACACTCACATTGGTTGTTACCGTTGTTTGATTTGAAGTCGTAGAAAAAGTATTGTCTAAAACACTTGTGGAATTCAAAATTCTACACTCGAATATCTCGTGTAGAATTTTACTTATTCTACACTTGTTATAGAATATACTCTTCCAAAACCAAACAGTATCTTGGAAACGGTAAATTTGGCTACATTGTAAATACTACCATTGAGCGGTGCATTCGAAAAAAGGACGGTTCTAGAACGGTTCAAAACAATCGCACAATTCATCAATCAACAAAATGACAATGGCTCAGCTATCACAATTTTCAATAATAAACTGTGCGATTGTTTTGAACCGTTCTAGAACCGTCCTTTTTTCGATTCCGAAAATAGCTATAGTGGGTAATTTTTTTTTGAGCTTGTTCTGAAATATTAGACTGTATCCATACATAATGATGATTCTGTATATTTTTCATATTGATTACTTATTAGTGGAATTATTTATTATTCTATCATATTTTCAGCTCAAAGCCAATAAATATTTTGTAAGTTCAGGTTGTCTTTAACAAGATTTTTCTTTTTCAAATACTAATTCACCAAAGTTTTCAAGATTGTTCAATAGAAAGATCCATTTTACCTGATAGAAGAGACTCTAGTTTCTAAATCCTTAAAGTTTTTAAAGTCACAGTGACACAATTTTTTTGTCATTTTCTTAACATCAACGCAGAGAAAAACTCTCAACTCTACATGTAGGCAAATATTTTGGTAGACAAAAATTTCTATTGAACAACCAAAATACTTAATCAAAAATTGTGGTGTGTAATTTTCTTACTAATAACCCTATTTCAAATTTACAAACAACTAATATTTAATTTTCTCCCTTTTTCAGAAACCTCCGAATATTGAAAATGTCATCAGCTATAGAAATATCATTTAAGTAAAAAAAATACATTGTTCGTTTATTTAATGTAAAATTATGCAATAGATTTTTATTAGTAAAAATTATAATGTGTTTCCAATTAAAATGCCCCAATAATACTTAAAAATGTTTAGGTAATCCATCATCCTGCAATAAATGCTCCTTAGAATCATCCAAAACTCGCGGTCCTTCTCCCACTTTAGTATAAATAATATACTTCAACAAACCCTCTTTGTTAGCAGATAAATTTAAATCCTTAACAATACTCTAAAAACAACTATTTTTTTAAAATTTACTAAAAATTAATTCTAATTACCTCATCAAGCGGCCTTATACTAGGCAACTTTAAACCTCTATAATACTCATTATCATCCACATTGTTAGGAAAAACAAAATTTACAATACTCAAAAAATCTTCAACTTCAGATTCGAGTAAGTAAATGCAAGTATTAGGACCTGCGTCTACAGTGTAGGCAACTGTAAGCTCCTTTTTATAATCATTATACAAATGCACTAACTGAATGATAGAATGTGACACTTCATTCATATAAGCAATTGGAGGAAAACTATCCAAACAACAAGCATGCATGGAATTTGAATCCTTCATTGTAAGCTCAGCAAAGCTTTGGAAATTCTTATTTAAAATTGCTTGTTCCATAGCCTCAATTCTTCTAGGCACTATTTCATTTGCCCTATATTTTATTAGAGAAGAAGTCAAGGTTGTTATTGCCATGCCTTTAGCAGAACTGTATTTTTTTTTAGTGTCATTCACTACTAAAACTAAAAGCCGCATTTCGGGCCAATGATCAGCAGGAACTATCTGTTTGGCCAAAGAATCTTCACCAACAGGTGAATTGCCTTTATGCCATCTCACCTAAGTATAGGATTTTGTTTCATATAAAATTATATTTTTTTGGAGTAGATTTCTTACCCATCCTCCGTAAATGCTTCTGCAAGCGCTTCCAGATCCTTGCCTGGCTATATTGGAGATTTCTCCTTCGATATTATAAAGTTGGGCTAAAGCATAGACTAAACAGGCATAGCCAGCTGCTGAGGATGCTAGACCCGCTGCTGTCGGGAAATTGTTTTCAGAACAAATCGAAATGTTCCAGTGTAGGTGAGGGAGTTTTTCGTCTGCACGTTTTTTGACTAGAATTTATAATCCTATTTGAAATGTCGCAAGTTATACGCATTTTGTGAGATTTGTTTTTTAAAAAATATAATCAAAATTTGATGTATTCTCAGCTCTTGAATTTTTTAGTGATTCAAGAGCCAATTATAATTATATATTTTGACTAGAAAAAAATTCTAGCCAGTGATAGTCGTAATCTGAAGCCTTTTTGGTTTTTGATTTTTTTTAGAGAAATTTTTTAATCATTCAAAAACCAGTAATCATCAAAATTTGATTTATTCCAGACTCTTGATTTTGTTTGGAAAAGTTTTTCAGTAAGATAACAACAGAAAAAGTCACCACAGCTCTAAATAGCCTGAAACTCTATTCAAGTCCAGGTCCAGATGGGATACCACCTATATTTCTAAAAAAATGTGCTACGTCTCTAGCACTGCTAGAGACGTAGCACATTTTTTTAGAAATATAGATGGTATCCCATGTCTAGCACCCTTATTCGCCCAACTATACCAAGATTCAATAGACAATGGTACCATACCAGAGATCTGGAAAAAGCTATAGTGATACCAGTCTACGAAAGTAGTGACAAAGACGACCCATCCAATTATAGACCTATCATCCTGATTGTCCAAAGTACTTGAAAAAATTCTTGCAAAAGAAACAACATTCTTTCTCTTAGAAAATGACATACCTCCTACACAGCATGGCTTTATGCCAAAAAGGTCTATTACAACAAATCTTCTCAGCTGCCTGGACGACTGGTCTACAAATTTAGATGAAGGCAAACCAATCGACGTCATATACCTCGACTTTCAGAAAGCCTTTGATACAGTATCACATGAGAGACTGCTACAAACTGAACCATTATGGAATAAGAGGTTAGTACCTACAATGGAGCAGCTCCTTTTTTAAGCAAAGAACTTTCTATGTTCGAGCAAATGGAATCAGCTCTGATTGATACCCAGTTGTCAGCAGAGTACCACAAGGATCTGTACTTGCTTCTCTTTTTTTTATAATGTACATTTCTGATCTGTCAAAAACTATTCAAACTAAAGTAAAATACTTTGCAGATGACAAAAAAACTATATGGAAATCCTTTAATATAACTGCATCAACTCAAGGAAGACAGTTTTACAGGTCGAAGGTTTTACACATAGGACGAAATAACCCTAGATACAACTACCAAATAAATAGCGTCGAACTCAGAAAAGTCTCAGAACAGAAGGACCCAGGAGTCTATGTCACTGATGATCTAAAATGGGAAACCTATATATCCCACACAGTGAAGACCAATCAACTACTATACCTTATGAGACAAGGTTTTGAAAATCAAACTGTAAAAATGATAAAAAAACTTTACACCACTTACATTAGACCAAAACTAGAATATGGCCACACAGTTTCCCAATTGAACTTAGAAATCTGCCATAATAAGACTATAAAAATTCCAGTTGACAACACTCAGAGAAAGAGGAGACCTAATTGAAACACATAAGATCTAAAATGGCTACTACTCTACAGACCTAAAACTGGAAGATATGTTCCAAATGAATCCAAACTTTAACCTCAGAGGACACCACCAAAAACTGAAAAAAGAGAAAACTGTTCTTCTTGGAAGGAAAAACTTTTTAACTAATCTCATTGTCTATAAGTGGAATTCCCTAATCCCAGAAACGATAAGTACACCAAACAAAAAAAAATTCAAAAATAGACTAGACCAAAATCTTTGTACCATAAACAATGCATTAGTGCATTATATAAGTATCAAAAACAAAAAACTAAAAGTGAAAAATCAAAAGCGATGGACTCATCAGTCTTAGGCCATTTTCCATTGCCAATAACATAATAATAATAATAATAATAATTCAAGAGCCGGTAATAATCATAATTTGATTATGTGTCAGTTATAAAATGACAATAGTATTTTTTACTGCATACCGCTTTTTACAAAGAATCCTGGGCCCATAACTTATTACAATTACCTTTAGTTAACAGAATAAATGAATCTGTTTCAATCTAAAATCCTATGAAAAATACTTACTAGCCCTCAAACAATTAGTCAACCTTGGACTGTCGAAGCTTTGTTCCTGGCCGTTCAACCAAAATTTATTCTCCTTCAACAAAGCCGATGTTACGATTGTAGTTTTGGCGCACATCTACAAAACAAAGGGTCTTGTTTTCGGTGTCATCGAGATTATTTTTGAACTTACAACGTCCGTACTAAGACTGGCACTGATCGAATCGTTTATTGGGAGGATTAATTCTTCATCTCTTTTGCCCCCTAGAAAATGCTCAATATGGGGGAATTTGTTTGATGAATGGTTTTTGTACTTACAGTATTTGATTACGGCCATGTTTATAGGAGCTATGCAAGTTATCATCTTCATTTTGAATAAAATGGACTATATTACAAGGAGACAGCCAAAGAATTATTAATGAAAATTCATTGGTTAACTATAATTCAATAAAAACTTTACATAGGAGCGTGCGAAAAGTGCACTTTATCGCACTTTACAGTGTGCGGGTATTTATAATCAAAAATCCCTTCTTTTTGAGAAATTTCAATAATGCCTTTTTTTAAAGATGTAGATAGGTAAAATTTTGCGGAAAGTGCCTTTACCGACCTTAACAGCTTGACCTACATACGGTAAAGTATCACTTTCCGCATTTGTTAGGTAAATAACTATAAGTTTAACGACAAAAACTGACTTCAGATTTCTAATTGGGATTATGATTCAAATACCTTTTTTATACAAAAAAAAAAATGCTCAAATATTGATATATTAAGAGAAAATAGTTAATTACCTTAATTATTATTGAAGAATTTATGGTTTATTTGATTTTAAAAAGTTTCACTTTTCTTCTGTTCCCATTTTTAAATGGGAAAAGAGAAATTTAAAAAGTGGGGTTATGTTTGCTTTTGGTAGTTCGATTATATATGGTTTATTTTTTATCCTTTTTTAACACATGGGAAATAGAGAAGAATAGATGCTCGGAACGGGATTTTTGATTGTGTACCGTTTTCACATGTGGTCAACCACCTATGTTAGTTCTATAATTATTTTTTTTTTGACGAGCGTGCGGAAAATTGTACTTTTCCGCACACATTTTAGGTCATGAAATTATCATTTTTCCGCACTAGTGTTTTTCCGTAAAAAAAGTAGAAGACCTGAAATTTTTAGGTATACAGGTACTTACAGATAAACAAGTATACTACAGGTACAGGTACGAAAAAGTGGAAAACAAATATCTTAAATTGATAAATATGTAGGTAAAAATATTACCTTTCATCTCGTAGAAAAAATAGTGTTCGTAACTCGTGCAGAAAGTCTCTATATTCCACACTAGTTAGGAAATATACTATTTCACATTTGCGTGTACAAAGAATCCCTTTTCCACACATTGTGCACAAAAATGTATAGTTATTTCATTCGTAGAAAATATATTCTTCCTAACATATAAAAGCAAAGTAGTTTTTTCGCACTTAAAGCTTATCGCAAAGTTCGTCTAACTGCTTTTACGTGCGGGAAAACATAACTTTGCGCACTGATTAGAAAAACTATTATTTTTGAATAAAAAGGGATTAAAAAAAATATATACGAAATAGTACATTATATACCTAGGTAGAGAAGTTGGTCTTTATATACCCGATTGCTTTTATAATGCGTAAGGTGGGTATATAATGACTTTCTCTACCGAGGGATATATAGAATTGTTTTTACTACTGCTAGTAGAAAATAAAAAATTGGTTTGAAAACCTGTATCAACAGCTTACGGTAATTTCCTATATTATACATACAGGAATTTGCTTTTTTTAAAATTGACAGTTTGACACTGAAATTAAACCAATAGAAACCTGTTACGTTATGACAATATCCTCGCGTCATGACGTCATTTTTATCATTGACCTAGGTATTTTTTCATGATTTTCATTATTCTAGGTACTTTGCGCGCGGTAGTGGAAAAAAACAATTATTCCGCCTTCATTTACAGTCGGGAATGAGATGTTGTACCGTTGTACCCATACTTATACAGGGTGGTCCATTTAAGTTCAGACATTTCAATATCTCGAAAATAGCGCGCTGTCCGCTACTACCCTTTTGCGAAAGAAAATAGAAAATTTTCTCAAAAAGGCAAAAAGGGGATAATTCCGTCAAGCTGGCAACACTGTGGCTGACTCGTTATCAAACGCAAGGATATCAACAAAGCATTTGATAGGTTGGATATAGGCCCAGCCCCTTTCCAATCAGATGCGAGTGATATCAGCAGGGCATTTAATTGGTTGGTTGAGCCCCGCCCCTTTCCGGGGTTAATGTACCGTCAAAGTATTTGATTGGTTGTTTCCTTTTCAACCCTTTCCAATGGCCCGGCCCACTTACAGTGACTTCACCTTTTCAAATAGAAATTCGGTACCGCCGCCATATTCTTGTAAATTTTGAATATGAATATAGAAGTTAGCCACGCCCCTGCCGCCATATTTTTGCACATTTTTTGATGTTTACTCAGGTATTATTATTATTATTGGTTGAGGTTTTGTTTGAGATTGGATCGAGAAATTAAACCAATACAAACATGACAATATCCTTGCGTCATGACGTCATTTTCATTATTAACCTTGGTATTTTTTCATTATTTTCATTATTAACCTAGGGAGAGAAATTCAATTTTTTCCTAAAAAAATAGATTGAATAATGACTATTTCTCAGGTTAGTAGTAAAAAAAAAATATTTATTATCAACACACCTAAACTAACGTTTCTTCCATGTAAACTTCTTTCTGGCACCTTTTTGACCGGGCTTCTTCCTCTCCCTTATTCTAAAGTCTGGAGTCAACAAACCAGCTATATTTAAAAAAAAATTAAATTAATTCCCAAAAATCAATATGTATAAACAAATAACACTGACCCAATCTCATATTTTCAATGTATTCTTGGTCGATGAAGCTTCTTAGGCCCCAAGCGATACCGTATCTGATGGCTCCAGCTTGGCCTGATTCACCTCCATCTTGGACTTCCGCTTCAATGTCGACTTTTCTTTGCATGTTTGTGAAAATTAGAGGAAATAGAAGCTAAAAGCAAAATGATAATTGAAAAAAACTTTTCATAAGGCTGTGTTTACACTGTGACATTTGCAAAAAAAAAATTACACAAAACATTTACCGCAAACCAACTACATATAAGGCAAAAAAAATGTGTTATATTAAAGCAGTAATTTTATTTGCAATATGATTAAGTAGTGTACAAAAAACTTCTCAAAATAACAATTAATAATTTTGATAAATTTTCCCACTAAATACATAATAATAATATAGCTAAAATCTTCACAACCTCTAAATCACTAATATCACATAATTAAATGGCAAAAATGCAAGTTAGTAGTAACAAAATAATATGAGGTGACACCTATAACATTAATAATGTGAATAAAATATTTACAATTCCAACAAAATAAAATAAAATCACAGAATTCTCAAAAAAAGAAAAAACATAGCCTCTGACTAACTAGTAGTATGATTATTCCTAACTGAATTTCTCTTATTAATTGCACTAAACTGTTCTAAAAGTTTCACATTCCTGCTCAAAAGCCCTCTCAAATCTTTGACTTCTTTAGACAAACTCTCAATCATTTCTGCATTTCTATCAATTTTATTATGCAAAGGCGTCACATTACTATTACTAAACTCATACAATCCTGTAAGATCTTCCATTACATTATTATTATTCATTTTACCACAATCACTAGACATATTGTGTGCATACATTGTCCCTTTTTTAGCAATTTCATAAGCAGCTTCTAATATATCCTTTGGCAAACGTTTCTCGCCAGGATTTAACGGTTTCACATTTAAAACAACTCTATAAGCTTTCGGAGACACTAAAGCAGTCCAATGCAATAAATTCAACAAATACCTCGGCAAATAACCATTAAACAAAGCCAACTCTATATAAGAAATAAGTTTAGTTTGTCTTACTAATTTTGATAAACCAGCAGTTTTTTGAAGACCTTGTATATCATGAACCGCAATACCAACAAGCAAATTCATAAGTATAACAGTTACAAATAAAAGAAACATTATATAGGTAACCTGAGCACTAATTTCTAAAAGAAAAGGCGGATCTTCTGGATCGTCATCGACCAAAAGATCAAGACTTAATTCGCCAGTCATCATAACTAAAACCGTAATAAGACCAATAAAAGGATTAGCAAATGTGGAAGAGTCTGGAAAAATAACACAAAAACTTATAGTAAATCCAATCAGCAAGCAAGAGTAGGCCAATAGCAGCTTGGCAAATTCCTTTTGCACTCTTGTATACATGGCAACATAAGGTCCAAACACTGGCAATTGGCCAACCATCAACATTAAATTCGTCCAGCCAAACAGCACAGCAAAAGCTCCCACATGATTTTGCCACGTGTACGTTCTACCAGTATACACAAAAGATATAACAAATACACTGACAATCACAGCCCATTCGATTATATTTTCCGGATGAGACAAATACTGCTTGACAGAAGGATAACCAGCTATACCGTAAACTTTTCTTAAAATCTCACAGCAAGTTATACCAACTAAAGCGAACCATTGCATTTCGATTACGAAAGGGTTATTGCGCAGCATGTGGCCCATCATTGACTTTTTTTCACAAAGCTCTATAACGTTTTGCGGTTGCGTGTCGTTCATATTTTTTCCATGATTGTAACAGTTGTGAGCCAGAGCTGTTAAAACATACAAAGACAAACTGAGAACGAATATAAAGCAAAACAACATCCGGGCAATGTAGTATTTTCTAATTTTCTCCCATTTTAGATAGAGAAAAGCTGAGCATAATGGATGTAGTAGAATTTCCTTTTGGCCTTCGTCTACAAAAGTGTTTAAGAAGCTTATTTCTCTAGGGTGACAGTGTTGTAAAATACTCCTAAAGTCCAATTTGAGCTCAACTTCGCGGTTGGAAGATTCCGGATGGCGATGCAAGCTTATAGCCTGGTCCAGTTTTTGTCGGACCATCGACAACGAAGCTGGCGTTTTTCTAATGATAATTCCCAAAGCGGTGTTGCCGTATTTTGACTTGGCTGTTACATCTGCACCGTGAAAAAGTAACTTTTCCACGCACTGTGATAGCTCGTTTAAAGCTGCCATGTGTAAAGGTGTATAGCCGAATTGATCTTTAGCGTTTACATCAGCTTTATGACTAAAAGTAGATTTTTTATTATGTGGATAATAAATTGTTTATTGTTGCTTACCAGACTAGAATTTCAATTATGTCGTAGGATCTGGCGGTTTTTCCTACTGCTGCGTGCAAGGATATGCGTTTGTCGCAATCTGGTATATTGGGATTTGCTTTGCCTTTTTCTAATAGCAGCTCTACACTGTCGTAGGATTGCGCTCTGGCTGCTAGGTGTAAAGGTGTTTGAAGCCTAAAAAATTTCGATATGTAGATTTCTATTTGTTTCTTCAACAGGATAAGACAAAGAGATGGAAATACTTCAGCTTTTCAACCCTCCAGCACCCTCTTGTGGAATTTATTTTTCTATACTTATTGTTAAGCCCCTTTAAGCGGAGCTGAAATAAATGGAAATTCATAAGAATCGTGCACTTTGTGCCAAGTTTTTGAAATTTGGACGAGTCTTGGTAAGCATTCACACCAAAGTAGCATGCGACCTACTTCCTGCTTTCTATGTAGCTGCAAGTCGCACGTCGCATGCTACTTTGGTGTGAATGCCCATTTATATGACATGTTTTAGAGCGAGTTCTCATGAGCGTAAGTTGACATTTCTGGCGTAATCACGTGATAAAATGGTTGGATTTTATTGGTAAAATATTCGCCATGCTGGAGATCTTACCAATCAAATAACACCATATTATCACGTGATTACGCCAGAAAGGTCAACTTACGCTCATGAGAATTCGCCCTTAATTCAAAGTTGTACGTCGCATGTTGCCACGTTACATTTTTTCCGGTGGGAACCCCACCATATATGTCTAAAGGTTCTAATGGCCATTTTCACCAAGCAAAAGTTAAGTGTACTTGACGTTAAGTGATCCTTAGGTTAGATTTTGCTTTCCTCCACGCTTATTTTGTTTCAATTAAGGATCACTAAGGACCGAATTTATAGTGGTTCCTTGAGTTTTCCTTGGAGGTCGTGAGTTTAGAATGGACACTTGATACTATTTGACAACTTTCAAGGCTTCCTTAAGGTCTAAGGAAACTTCAAGTAGCGACTATAAATTCGGCCCTAAACTACCGTCAAAATTCTCGATTTAATGGCCACTTATCGAAGTAGAGATGTGCGCATGCGCTGACAGCGTTCAGATTTTTCCGTTCAGGTGACAAACAAAATAACATTACCTCTTATTTCATTCTATACTCCATTTTGCCTCGTATTTTCATTTGTTTCTTCGGGTTTAAGTGTTATGGAGTAGTGGATGAAAATAGTGAGGTTTAGGACAAAAATCAAACTCCTGGATTAAAAATTCGCCGACGTTTCAGCCTTATATTAGACCTTCTTCAGAGCTGAATATGGATTTTAATAATATTCTTGATGATCTCAAAAGATTAGATCTGGTAGAAAATGGGTTCCCCAGAAAATTTATGACTAGACCTATTATTAATCAAATCTTATGAAAATTGGCGGGAAGCCACGAATGACAGATAAGATTGTAACTACAGGATTTTTACGCTATCTTTAGGATGACGTCACATTCAGTCAATTTCTGCTGCCAACCTAACAAAACTAAAAGTACTTTTTAACGCATTCAAAGTAATAGAATTCCAGATGTTTTTGGTTGGCAATGGCGCGCGACGTTGCATGATTTATATAAACATTTTCCAATAATGCGTGTCGATTCATTTCGTTATTTTTAGCTGTCAGTGGTCTTGATAATTTATTATGACATTCTGGTAAATTATAAGGTAAAAAACAGGCATTGACAACATTGGCTGTCCTGGTTCTATGACGTCATCCTAAATATAACGCAAAAAACCTACACCAGTGTAAAAACAACCCAAATCTTTCACTTAAAATGCAATGTTGTCACAGCTTTACGGAACGGCTGGTATTTCAATATCACCTTAAGGTACAGAATAACCTTAAGTCATCCTTAATACAAGTTTCACCATATATCAAAGTTCCCCTAATTTAAGGTATTATCCGTTTACAATCCGATGTCCACAGGTACAGGTAAAATGTATCACCTTTCAATGCTATTTGATAGGGAAAGATGATAAATTTACCTGCACCTGTGGACATCGGATTGTGAACAGAATATAGATCTTAAGCCACCTGAATGAACTGATTTCAAGTTCACCTTAACATTAAGGTTGCCTTAGGTACACTTGACCAATCATAAAACTGGTACGCATTTTTCCATTGTGTTGTATTGTGTAAATCAACCTTTTTTATTACCTCAACAATGACAGAAAGAATCAAGTCAGTGTCATATTTAAACCAATCATAGTTGTATTTACTTTTGTTCCAGCTTTGACGTTGACAAAAACTGTTAAACCTAAGTTTTTCAGAACAGACTTTTTGTTGTTAAGCCTGATTCACACTAGGCCCTTGAGTGTCCCTTAACTTTTAAAGGCTTCATAGTTAACCAAAGCTTAGTGAAAGTTTGGTGGAAATGGCCATAAATAAGTAAACTTTGTTTCACGAGGGTTCATACTTTTGACATCATTTTGCTTCCTTTTTTAACAAATTGAAATTGACTGAAACAAACCAATGACGTCAAAAACGTTTTTCGGTTCTTAAACCAGAAGTCATTCATTTTAATTTGTCAAAAAAATTGAATGTGTCATACAGAGGCGCCGACTTTTGAAATTCCTCATGGGTGCGGGATAATCCGGCCTATGATGTACACTTGGCCAAACATAAAACTGGTACAGGCAATATATATTTTTTAAATTTGCCTAGTGTGAGTCACGCTTAACAACAAAAAGTCTGTTCTGAAAAACTTAGGTCAGACAGTTTTTGTCAACTTTAAACCTGAACATTATGTTATGATTGGTTCAAATATGACACTGACTGGACTCTTTTTGTCATTGTTGAGGTGATAAAAAAGGTCGATTT